GTAACAGAGTTACTGGGACATCCTGTATATATGTATATATATGTATATATACCTATATATTAGAGAAAACGTCTACTGGCATTTTACCCCAACAAAAGTAGTAGCATATTGTCCCAAGACGTTATTTCATCTTATGATGAGCCTGTACAGTACGACTGTTAAGAAAATGAATCAACGATGTACTGAATATTTTCATTTTAACCTACTCTAATAGATTAACAAACTAATCGAGCTAAATATTGAGTAATGTTTAAATAATAACTTACATAAAGCACTATCAAAGTTATAAGAAGCACATTTTCGTATACCATGCCGTCATATTTTTACCTCATAAAAACAATACTGTTGCCAGGAAATTGTTGCTACTTATGCAATATGTTAAGCACACAATTGTACACACTGTTGTAGCACTGACGCAAGCACTGCTAATCGGTATCATTGTAAAACAAACCGTGTGGCATATTCCCCACACTGACGTGTTTTACTCGCACTTACCCTATATACCTTATAGCGATCTTTTACTTCAAAAGTGATGCAACTCCAAAAATACTATTTTTTAGTTATCATCATGAATGAGATAAAAGATAAAGATTACTCTGTCATTCATAAAAAATAAACTAATTTAATTTCACAATCCGCCAAATAGCACTTGCATCGTTCTTAACGTTTTTAAAAAGATTATAACATGTTTTACAAAAGTGATACATTTTGAATTGTGTCACCTTTGTGCATAAAAAGGAGAGACTTTTACACAAAACATTTAGAATTAAGACAATTTTGGTGATCAAAATGTGAAGAAGAAATTGTTTTATTTTGAATTCAATCATTTTGTCTGATCAAGATAAATATAATCTGTAGGTGATATTTCGAATTATGTCACTTTTGATGAATTATTTCGGATTTATCATAGTTTCGTAGGATTTCAAAATTGTCACAATTCGAAAAGGGTTTTACTTTAAGAGTTGTGAAATTAAAATGACAAAAATGATATTTGACTGTGTTTCTAAGTTAGTGTACATTTTTTGTCGATATTATTTGATTAGTTAATAATTTTAAGTTACAAAATTTAACCGAAACAAACATTTATCTTCTTTTCTAAAAAAAAATTTAATATTTTTACAATATTATATCACACGCAAAAAAACGGGCTACTTAAAATTTAGCACTAATTTTTAATATTTTCAAATAGCAATAACTCAGTGAAAAATCATCGTAGCGAGATGACTAAAAAAGTTCTTTAAAGCTTGAAATCTCTACTTTTCAGACCGGTACTTCAAAAAACGGCTTTTCCGATATTTCATGAAGTTACACAAACATAAATGAAGATGTGTCTAACCTCAAAATTTTTTACGAAATTTGAGAAGTTCCATGACTCAAATTAAAAATTATGCACAAATGCCGTTTGCAGCTTTCGAAAGACTGAATCTTTACCTTTAATTTGCTTTTTTGTTGAACTCTGTACGATTTTTTTTCACCGTTATTCAACGTTGAATTAAAAATGACTCTTTTTGTTTCAACGTTGAATAACTCGGTAAAAAAAAATCGTACAGAGCTCAACAAAATAGCAAATTAAAGGTAAAGATTCAGTCTTTCGAATGCTGCAAACGGCATTTGTGCATAATTTTTAATTTGAGTCATGGAACTTCTCAAATTTCGTAAAAAATTTTGAGGTTAGACACATCTTCATTTATGTTTGTGTAACTTCATGAAATATCGGAAAGGCCGTTTTTTGATGAAGCGGCCGAAAAAATAGAGATTTCAAACTTTAAAGAGCTTTTTTAATCATCTCGCTACGATGATTTTTCACTGAGTTATTGCTATTTGAAAATATTAAAAATTAGTGCTAAATTTTCAGTGGCCCGTTTTTTCTGCGTGTGAGTGTATATTATAGAACCATATATATGAACACAAACTATATAAAAATAAAAGCCTTAAACGGTCTAACTGGATCTTAATGCTTGTATGACTCTTATGTGAATTTATATACTACGTATGTAGTTTCCAGAAACGCGCGCCGAAATGATTTTTCGGTCTTGAAACGCTAACTCTATGAAACTACTGCAGTAATATCACAAATTAAATTGACTAGCAATTTAACAAAATTTTAATGCTTAATTGCATCTTCGAAACGATTTTAATAATGTTGAATGACATATTAAAATCTGTAAATAATTAATTTTTATTGCGAAAAGTATTACCTCGGCCGGGAGTCGAACCCGGACCTTTTGCCGAAGTCGTGCCTCGGTAGTCTTAAAGGCTTAGGACGCTCGCACGGAATGCAAGAGATCCGGGTTCGACTCCCGGCCAAGGTAATATACTTTTCGCAATAAGAATTAATTATTTACAGATTTTAATATGTCATTGAACATTATTAAAATCATTTCGAAGATGCGAATAAGTATCAAAAATTTGTTAAATTGCTAGTCAATTTAACTCGTGATATTACTGCGGTAGTTTAATAGAGTTAACGTTTCAAGACCGAAAAATTATTTCGACGCGCGTTTCTGGGGACTACACACGTAGTATATAAATTCACATTAGAATCATATACAAGCATTAAGATCCAGCTAGATCGTTTAAGGCTTTGATTTCTATAGTTTGTGTTAATTTTTTTAGTTGTGTCACTTTTAAAGTAAGAAAACGATACCTTTTTTATTTAATATTATATTGTTAAAGAGTTAATATCTTATTACTATTTTAAATTATTTCCGTATCATGACATTTTGGTTACAGTTACATCGTTGCGAAATATTTTCGTCAAGATAACCGTTTTATACAGGTTCCGAATAAATGTTTATACATATACACATGAATAAATGCTTATACATATACACGCGCGCGCGCACGCGCGTGCGTGCGCGCGTACGTGCCTGCGTGTGTGCGTGCGCGCGCGGTCCGTATTACATCGCATTCTCCTTTCCTCGACATTTCTGTTAATATTGGACATGCGCGTACTTTACAATACTACTTTCAACGTAATCAGACGACTGGATATCGTTTCTGATTCGAATCAAATATTGTCGAATATTTCTATTCCTTGCGGGCTGAATTGGGATGAGAGTACCCACTTTCATGCTCTAAAGTTATTTTTTAATCATCGTGGTGGATTTCAATTTTTCGCTGTAATTTTGCACCTCCTTTCCATTTTCCGTCCAAAGCTTAGCGGATCTATGGTACATAGATCCGCTCAATCTAAGTAGCGGTTACAATCTTTACAGCTAGACAGCTCTTGTAATGCTACGAGACATTTACGATCTAGCCATGAAGGAAAAGTGTTCCGCTATCAGCCAACAATGTGTCACACGCGAGATCACATGTATATCGCTTCTCAGATAGACATTACGCGTGTTACGTAATGAGATAATAACCAGGAAACGAGAGAGCGAGATAGAGGAGTAGGCTTGTGTAAGAGGCGCCTCAATTTTCAGAGGGATTGTCCCCTATTATGGAGAGAATCATGTATCATCCTTTAGCTCTTTCTCCCTCCCTCCCCCTCCTCTCTCTTTCTCCCTCTCTCTCTCATAAATTATACTACACATAGAAAAATATTTTATTACTTAGAAAAGTGATTACTCAATTTATATTTTTTTTTTAAGTAACAATTATCTTTAACGAAGAATACTTTCTTGATAATAATCTTAAAATATACTTGTTACAGATTAAAAGAAATTCATTATTATATTAAACTAAGAATTTCTTTTTTTAAGAATATATTATAAAATTTTGTCAAAATGGCAACTAATTAAGCAATCGAATTTGTTCTAATAATTTTGATTGAAGTGTCAAACTAATTAGAATTAGAATAAATCTTAAATAAATTTTGATGCTTATGATAAACCCTGTGTAGATTTGCAGGTGACTTTTGAAATGCATGAAACAAGTAATATTTAAAGTAGTATGTATTTTTCTGCGTATATTCGTACATACGTTATATATGACTAACAGCTTATTTACGGGTGGGTGCATACACAACCATACATTCACACACACATACATATAAAAATACAGTGGCGTAACTTCAAAATTTGGGCCCGGAGACATAACCTCTTGAAGAACCCCCCCCCCCCCCCATGCGGAAGGATTGTTTAACCGAAAAAAAAGGTTTTTTTAACCCTTTAAAGGCGTTTATACGTTTAAAAACGTTTTTTTTTACGTTTTAACACATTCTCTCCCCATTGGGCCTGTTATTGAAGAAAGTAGTTATAATATATTTTCCTAAATAATTTTATATTATACATAGACGGTTCAAACATCACAAAATAAAAATCCAATTATGTACCTATACAATATATGTATTTCTTTTAAATGTGAAATAATACAGAAAATTTACAAAAACGTAAACGAATAATTTTTACTTTAAATTAAGAAAGAAAAATCCCTGGTTACAAGAATCGATTGAAACAGATACATACTGCTTTAAATGTATCTTCTCGACTTTGCGTTAGGGAAGGACTGAATTATTTCGTCTAAATTAAGATATTTCGACCTGTGTTTTTCGATGGATATAATACTTAGATTTGACAAACGATGTTGAGACACGGTGCTTCTTAGATAATTTTTTACAATTTTTAATTTGGAAAATGTTTGCTCTGCGTGAGCAACTATCACAGGAAGAGTGAGAAACAATATACAGGCTGCACAGAGATCGGAAAAATTCATACTTAGTAGATGATTCTCTACTATTAAAAATTTTGCTAGATCTTATACCGATTTAAGTTCACCGAGTTTATTCCTAAATAAAATTTTTAACTGTATAATTTGGTTTGCGAGATTTACTGACAAATCATCTGCATATTTTTCAGTTAGTTTTAAAGCAGACTGTTCAAGCTGTTCTTCAGTTAAAATGCAAATATTTTGAAGAATAATAGGTGAAAAGAGGCTTGTAATTTCATTTAAACTTTGGAAACGTGTTTTCAATTGTGAAATCGTTATATCCATCTTTTTATAAAAAATCTGTGTCTGAAAATATTTTCTCGCATTTGATAATCTTTCTTCAGAACTTAATTCGTCTGCAAATTTCGGAACTTCTCTTCTTCATTTTTGTTCAAATATGGGCTGAATTCTCTAAGACCTTGCCATTTTTTCTGCTTTTTCTGATATTTCGTCAAAATTTTCACATTTTGCTTGTAATGTTCATAAAGCCGTTCCAAGCAAATCTGTAGCCTTGCTAAGCTCACATTTGGGTGATTGTAACAATAGAGATACTGTGTTTTTAGTGAGTCCAAAATTATAGCTTCAACGGTTAGAATTACTATTACATCAAATTTTTCAAAGTATTTTTGAAGACCAGCTATTTCATTCTTTTCGCTGCTATTGCGACCCATAAGAGCTATATATGCTAATACTTTCATTAAATCTGAATACAACAACCGCAGTGCCAACAGTAAATCATTCCGGGAAGACCAGCGTGTAGAACACAATCTCTTTAATGAAATGTTAATAGAACTTTCAGATTTTAAATATGCCCATCTTTTAATGCTATTGGCAAAAAATGCGTAAAGACTCTCAAGTTTGTCATAAAAATGATTGATTTCAGTTATATTTTTCACTGAATCATTAATAACTAAATTAAGATTGTGAGCCGCACAGTGTACGTACAAAGCAAGTGGCTGCACATTTTTAATTCGTTTCTGCAAACCATTATATACTCCACTCATGTTTGCAGCTCCATCGAATCCAAGTCCTCGTAATTTTGTATGTCTATATTGTTGTTTTTAAAATTTCTGTACACTTGCTCCTCTATTTCGGCACTAGTTTGACCCTCCAGTATTTCAAACCCTACAAAACTTTCATGTATGATTATATCTTTGGGCGCATCGTGTTTGTCATATTCTATAGAAACGTATCTATATATGTGACTTTGTTGGTCTGTTTTTGATATGTCTTGAGTAGAATCAGTCATATAAGAAAAAAATGGTGTGTTTCTGGTATCTTGTAAAATGTCCTTTTTTATTTTTTCTCTTATAGCTGAAATTATCTCGTTTTGTATTTGCGAACTCAAATATTTTATAGTGCCTTTGGGTTTGCGTAGAAGTTCTGCAAGAACCGAATCGTACTTGCTAAGAAGTGTGATGATTGCAATAAATTTTCCTTTATTTTCACTATCTTCATTTTCTCTGTGTCCTCTTAGACTAATGTCTTCCGTTGCCAAAGTTAATATTACATTTACGATTCTATGAATTACTTGCCTCCAATACGATTCATTTTGTCTGATTTGCTTTTCAGATTCTTCATTTACAGTCTTGTGTTCTATGAACTGCTTAAGAGATAAACAAGCATCTTTATGTAATTCAGAATTTTCGTGCCTCTCAATTCCACGTCCTATGTGTTTCCAGTCACAAAATCCCTCTGTCGACTACTCTTGCGCTGTTTTAAATTATTCTTTCGAAAAAGCCAACACGGTTGACAGTAACATTCATGCAAAGTCGGAGAATAGCACAACCAAGATCTTGGAATTTTTAAACCAGACTTTGTAATTTTTAAATAATAAGATGTGTGAAAACAACGGCCTTCGATATTTTTTTTAAACATACTCATTGGTTTGCATGGGCCTGATTTTATAATAAAATATTTATCCTCCGTACTCAAAGAAGTTTTCTTTTGATAATGCGCAAAATCAGTTGGATATTGTTCTTTAAGCGTATTTATTAAATTTGGATCAAACTCTGTAAATGTCTCTGTTGGTTCTTCTACGTCTGAATCGCTTTTTGTTTGTTGATTAGGTGTGTCTATAATGTAAATGTTTTATTTATAAAAAATAAAAATAGATAAAAAATATTTACATACCTAGTGTTTCAAGTGCAGGGCCAACTGTTATCTTCTATTAAATTTTCGACACATTCAGATTTAATTAAAGTGGAAGAAGAAGCAACTTCAGATTTTGAAAAGTAATTTGTTACTTTCGGTAGTTTTGATAGTTTTTCTTTTAATTCCTGGGCTTTTTTACGTTTTTGGGCCCCACTAAGTAATTTACTTATTTTGACGTGATACAATAGTTGGTATGTAATGGGAGCCCGGATATTCGTGCACTATCCCGTGTCGTGCACGGACAGTCGCTGAGTGCGAGTTGTGTGTGTGGCGATTGTCAATTCTCGCTGGCGCATAGCTGTTGAATGTAAACACACATATGCGCACGCACACAACTCGTATTCAGAGGTTCTCCGCGCGCGATATGGGATCGTGCACGACACCCAAACATCAAATCTTACAATTAGCTTACTACAATAACAGAATATCAGAAACAGAGAGATATGTAAAGTGCAACTGCAATACAAATTTGGAAATACGTAATTTTATTTTTAATTTAACTTTCAAATAATTAGTTAAATAATTATATATATTTCAAATGATAATATTAATAAACAAATAAAATTTTTGCTTTAAGTTTTATCAAATAATTTCTGATAAAATTTTAGCTTTGACTGTAAAAATGGAATATCATGTTAAGTTTTTGAGAAAACCTCTCAATCAAAATTACCAAAATAGGCGTTTTTAATATTTTTGCGTTAGTTATATCTGTCAGTATAGAGATATACTAAAAACGACTTATAGAATATCAAGGTAAATGGTTATTTAGACAACGTAATTAAAAATAAAATTAAATTTCAAAGGCCCTTGGGCCCGGGGCCGTTGCCCCCTCTGCCCTCCCTGCAGTTACGCCACTGTACAAATACACATTTACACGCAAATACTTTTAAATTTTTATTTTTATTTTACTTCAGTTCCTATCTTTTATTTTATGTATGGTCAATTCTTTACATTCTTAGTTTTAATTTGCAAAACAATCTGTGCGCTTAAGGGGATTTGTTTCAGAGTGCTCAATAAATGACGTTTCTCTCTCTCTCTCTCTCTCTCTCTCTCTCTCTCTCTCGCTTTTACTTCTTTTATTACATTCATATTGTGTTATTTCTTGCTTTCCTTTTTTATCCTTAATTTTTCTCATGTTTACGATATTTTTTAAATTCCTGTTTCCTCTATGCTATTTACGTTCAAGTTTGTCTTTCTTCTCTCTCTGTCCTTTTATATCATTTCTAAATGTTCGCCTCTTAGTGTTCCCTCTTATCCTCACTTCTTTCATTAGATCCATATCCTGTGTTATTTCTTCCTTTCTTACGTTCTGTCTGAGATGTGCGCGTTTGTTTTGGCTCAACGGGGCAACTGGACGCGTTCCGTAGCCGCTGCCGTCGAGAGAAAGTTCTACAACGAAAGCCTTTACCCTGGTAAACGTTTACGGTTGCCCTATTGCATCGTGGAATTGCCGTTCTCTTTCACTCGGTGCCAAGTACTCCGACGCGGCGCGACGGCGCGGGAAGAGCCGGCCGGTGCTGTTTCAAAGGCATTTTGCGTTTTATTATCGGCGATACCAAAGTAACGCCTCCGCAGAACATTTTCGCTCTTATGAAATGAGAGTTCAGAAAAGATCGTGAGGATGAAATCTGTTTTATCTTCTAGTAAACCTATTTACACACACTCT